CACCACACTCAGCTGGTTTTTTTTGTACTTTTAGTAGAGATGGGGTTTCACTATTTGGGACAGGCTGGTCTCGAACACCTGACCTCAGATGATCCACCCGCCGCGGCCTCCCAAAGTGCTGGGATTACAGGAGTGAGCCACCGTGCCTGGCCTAAAATGTCCATTTTTAATTGGCTACTTCTTTCAGGACAAGGCAAATGGATTGCCTGAGAAATAAAATAAAGATTTGTGTTTGAGTATTTGTAACAAAAAGTCCATTTGGGAGCCAGGCTAATTCATAAGATATGTGAATGTACTGTTTAGCTTAATCTTTTCTTTCTTTCTTTTTTTTTTATTTTTGAGCAGACTTTCTCTCTTGTTGCCCAGGCTGGAGTGCAGTGACGTGATCTCGGCTCACTGCAACCTCCGCTTCCCCAGTTCAAGTGATTCTCCTGCCTCAGCCTTTCAAGTAGCTGGGATTACAGGCACACACCACCACATTAATCTAATTTTGTATTTTTAGTAGAAATGGGGTTTCACCATGTTGGTCAGGCTGGTCTCGAACTCCTGACCTCCGGTGATCCACCCACCTCGGCCTCCCAAAGTGCTAGCATTACAGGCATGAGCCATCATGTCCAGCCTAGCTTAATCTTTTCTAAGATCAATACCACCTTTCCAGTGAACTTTGTCTCCAAGCACTGCAAAACACTGCATCTAATTCAAAGATTCTATGTCTTTGGTGAAGAAGGCCAGCATTGTTGACCTAAGTCCATAGTATCTGAGTGAGGAATAAGACCTAGTTTCCTCATGCCTAGATGTGAGGTTTATCTTTACACGAGAGCAAGGGACATTTATGTAATCCTCATTAGTGCAGATGGCTGTTCTGACTCCAACAGCCTGTGCATCACTGTAAGAACAGTTGCTTTAATCTCTAAAGAAAACAGCAAATAAAATGCATGTTTTTTTAAATCAAGGAAGTAAGGTTCCGTCAATGCATATTGTCCAAGTGACAAAGTATTTCAGGCAGCTACGTAATTGGCCTGTAATAGCGATATACATGGGAATGCAATTTACTTTTTATCATTCTTGTTTGGGTCATGAATTGAAATCACAGTGGGAGCACAAGGCTGTCAGGGATAAAGCAAAGGAAGAAAACAGGACTTGGCTGCTGGGAATATTCACACCCAGCCAAGAAAACATGCCAAATGAGGCTTAAAATGAACTTTTCCTGTGTGCATTTCATAAGTGCAGACCAAGAGGAAAAACAATTCTTCCCTTCCCCTATCCCCACTATAATACTTTAACCATTGGGTGAAATATACCATAGTCACAGGCATACTGTCTGACTGTGATCCTGTACCCTGCACTAGGGGATCTGTCAAATATTCAGTGGACAAGTAGAAGAGAACTGAATTGGGAATCTGAAGACCAGAGACTTAGTTTTTGTTCTGTTACTGACCAGTGGTCGACCTTGGGAAAATTACAACCTCTCAGAGCTTCAGTTTTTATCATCTGTTAAATGAAGGTAATACATGACCCACCTAAACTCATTCAGCTATTATAAATCATTTTTTCTCTTCATAGTCAAGCCTCTAGAAAAATTGAATAGTCACCATCTTGACTTCTTTACCTTTCATTTACTCCCCGACCCAAAACTGACCCTCCATTAAATGATGAGACCACTGCTGTCAAATCTAACAAATTCTCAAATGCTTTTCAACCTTTCACTTAATCTCAGATTCTTTCAACAATGTTAAATGTCACTGTTTCAAAACTTCCACAGCTATTGACTTTCATAACAGCACCCTCTCCATTCTCCCCTTTAATAATAGTGTTCTCCATGGCTTTGTCCTTGGCCTTTATTTTTTTCACCATCACCATCTCTTTGGTTATCTCATCCAGGCTATGGTTTCAACTACTTTCCATGAATTGATGCTCATATTCACCTACAAGGACCACCCCTCTCCTGAGGTCCATTCTGCTCTTGGAAATGTCTTCCAGAACTCCTTAGAGCTCTGAAAATTCAAAAACTCTCAAACCAGTTCATTTGGTTCATCCCTCCTGACCACACTTCAAACTACTTCTCTTCCTGTGTTCCCTTCACCCATCCAAAATCTGGGACTCGTCCTTGACCTGTTTTCAAAATTCTATTTCCAAAATATTTCTCAAATGTGTTTCTTATCTACTATGGCCACTATCTTGATCCAGAACTTTTTCATCTCTTGACAGCATTGCAAATGCCTATAAACTAACCTCCCTTCTCTAATGTCAGGTCCTTCTGTGGCATCCTCCACGTGGGTGCCAATGTGGTCTTTCTAAGCAACAATTTGTCTCTCTTCCCTACCTTTAGATCTTTAATGATTCCCACTACACACTGATAAAAATCCTAACTTACGAATATAAAACAGATGTCCCTTTATGTACTGGGTCCTTCCCACCTTGCCAGTATCAGTTCTTGGATCTCCTTCATTGTCACCTTGATTATAGCCATCCCCAAATCCTTGTCATCTCCATTTGCTACATGAAAACTTGGTGATTTTGCATTGGATTGCTCCTTTCTGGAATGTTTTACATTCTTTCCTGCTTATTGAAAAGATTATTCGTCCATCAAGACTCAGCTCCCATGTATCCTTTCTTATTAAATAGCCCCTGACTTTCCTCCTGCTCGGATCTTCCTTAGTAATTTAATTTCCTTCACAATAGCTTGTGCACACCTTTATTCTAACATGTCACCCCAGACTGCAGTTATCTCGTCATCTGACCTTTTCTGAGGGTAGGAATCAAGTCTTGCCTGTAATTGAAATGTAACGTGCATCACAACAAGGCTTCAGTAATTTCTAGATCTGACCCCTGCCGTTTGCTTCAAATTCTCAAGCATTCACGTAATCTCCCGGGTTGATTCAACCTATTATCTCCTCCTAGATTCTCATCTCTCTGTCCAGCCTTCTTGAACCAATAATCCAATGGGATAATCTGCCCAGGTTTGATGTAGGTTGGCCCAAGGCAGCTGGCTGTGAATTCCCCTATTCAGCTCCATGTCAGCTGGTCCCAGGTTCCTAGGAGGGCAGCCCAGATACAGCACCATGAGCACCTATCTGTCAGGTGTGCGAGAGACGAGAGAGAGACTAGGAAAATTGGACTCATTATCTCATTTTCTAATAGCAATATTTTAGAAAATAACTATGTATTAAGAGAACAGGTACTCCACTGACAAGCATCATTGCACTGCTCGAAGAATAGGAAACATTTATTGAATTGAAATAGCTATAAGGAAAAAATAGCAAGATATGATTTAAGAAAAAAAATGAACAAAACTGCTCTCATCCTGCATTTCTGTTTTGTCTATTGTGATGCAATTGGAGAGATGGGATATCTGAAGTCGCATCAAACGCTCATCTGTTATTCAGCTTTGCTAGAATGGAGCTGAAATGCACACGAAGGCAAGGGTCTAATTAAAATGCCAGACTATTTATTGTCTATTCTTAGCTTTGAAAGGTGATGAATGCTGTTATGGCATTGTGTAGACTATTTTGTTTAATGTGAAAGTCAAAAGGCCAAAAATTTAGATGGCTAACCAGGAAATGGAATGGAATAAATTATAAGAACACATTCACTGTATGCTTTCAGTCAACTTAAGGTTCAAGAGTCTCCAACCAAATATGCTGAAATGAAGTGTGTAAATTTAAAACCCTTGCATTTTTCATTGTTAGAAACACAAACATGGGAGATTCTTTAGACGTTGTCACTTAATAATAATACAGAATTAAGCATAAATCAGGTTTGTCACGAACTCAAAGGGAATTGATTAAAGGAGCTCATTATAGTAATTACATCTAGATTATTGTCCTTCTGGATTACAGCTTTGAAGACTGCTGGAAAATGAAAATACTTACTAGTGACTTGCGCGATAAGAAAAGGGTGGGTGTGACCATTTTCATTTTCAAATGAGAAGATCTTGAGATAATACAAGTTCCCTCCAGATTCCACATTGAAGGCTGCTAACAGGACTTACTTTTCTGTAAGCACCAAGGGGTGCTATCTCCTAGTCGATGGTATGATTGTACCCCCTGGAATTGGATAACATGCTAGCCTTTGTGTGACTTGAATTGCTCATCCTCTCAAAGCCTCAGCTCCTTTACGTGTAGAATAGGGGTGTTATTAATAACAGGGGCATGATGAGTATCTACCTAGTTAAGTAATGGTGAAAATTAAGTGAGATAGTGTAACCAACCACGATCCCTAGTAGACTGAACAAAGGAAGATGAACGCGGGAATAAAAGACAAAGACAAAAGAGTATATTTGGAAGAAGAGGTCGGGGGCACCTTGCATCTAATGGACAAAGGCCCTGAGCTTTTTCAGTCTTCCAAATTTATTAGGTAAAACAGATAAGAGAAAGCGGGGGTGATTGTCAGGTAACTGTCAGCTGGTCATTTGGTTCACAGCAGGCTTGCGAGACTGCATCCTTCGAACAATAGGTGCTCCATTTCCCATTAGATAACTTCAAGGAGTTATCCATTTCCCATTAGATAACTCCCAGTGCCAGGGAGTGATGGCCCTCAGCAAACCTTTTGGCCACAGGTGCAGTTTGCTCACATCCTGCATTCATGATAAACAGTTTGCTGTTTGATCATATAGCTGCCAGTGGGATGCTGAGTTGGTCGCGATCCCTTTGCCGGCTCTCTACAAGATACTGTGTAAAAATGTTTAGCATGGAACATGGCACAAAGGAAGGGCTTCCTGAATGTTAGCAATTATGGGCCAGGCGCGGTGGCTCACGCCTGTAATCCCAGCACTTTGGGAGGCTGAGGCGGGTGGATCACCTGAGGTAAGGAGTTCCAGACCAGCCTGGCCAATATGGCCAAACCCGTCTCTACCAAAAATACAAATAGCAGCTGGGCGTGGTCACGGGCGCCTGTAATCCCAGCTACTTGGGAGGCTGAGTAACGAGAATCGCTTGAACCTGGGAGGCAGACGTTGCAGAGAGCCAAGATCGCATCACCACACTCCTGCCTGAGCAACAAGAGCGAGACTCCATCTCAAACAACAACAACAACAACAATAATTATGATAACAGTGCCCCATTTTTCTCAAGGGTTAGTCTCAAACTGAGCCTCCTAAACCAAAACAGCATTGCAGCTTTTGTGCTTCTGCTGGCCACCATAGTATTTATGTGCCCAGAGTACAGATATTTAAATCTGTTGTGTTGGAATTTTCCTTTGTCATATCGTCATGTTAATAAACTTTGATAGCAATAAGGGCTATAAATTTATAGGATTTATTTTATCTGGGCAAGAAATCACCTAAGAGGTGAGGAGAAAAAGAAGAATAAAAATCTTTCTAGAGATGTAGAGTCATCTTATTGTGGAAGGCTAAGATTAGGTTAGTCTTAATTCACATTTTCACTGGGTGTTCACTTTGGACCATTTCTTTTACATAATGTACATGATTTTCTGTGTTAGTCTGATGTGTGTCTAGAGGGAGTTCATTTAAAACTGAAAAGTTAAGACATTGATTGTCATTCTAAGTATGAAGAAAAGTGGAAGCAAAGACTTAGCATGAGACAAATGAGGTAATAATTAAATTGGACCCCGCACTGACATAGCTCATTCTGCTGAAGTTTCATAACAGATTTCCAGTTGTCTTCTTAGAAAAACTTTATCTCTTAACTTCAACCACTTAGGGAAACTGATTTGTGGGGTTCCACCCCCCAGCTTGTGAAAAAGTAGAATTATCTGAATGAAAATAAGAACTTGTACTCAGAATTCTATGGCAGGTGAGGAAGATTTTCTTAAATAACTTGATATTCTATGATTCTTTATAATGATAAAATACTGCTTTATTAAGAATAAAACCACCTCTTTGTGAGACCACTGATAGAAGTGGGAACTCTTCAGTTCACTTACTGTGATGCACCTACTTATTTTCTGCCCTATCCTCTCCTCCATCCCACTTGTTTTACTTCATCATTTTCCATAGTATAATAGAAAAGGCATCTAAATTAAAGGACTCACAGTTTCAAAATAGAGAACTGGGTACACACTGCAAACTCCTTATATCCTTCACCAAAATAATGTATATGTGCATATCCATGCATGTGAAATGTCTATACACTTACACATCCTAAAGTAATGTGTATAATGAGGACATGCATAGCCATGCTGAGAAATTCTAGGCAGACCAGAAACTGTGGCCAATACCCGAGAGACTAAAAGTAGAGACTGGACTTATGAGAAAACAATGTCTGGAATACATGTGGGATTCATGTGAGAGTCCACCTGAGGGTCTGCCAAAGTGTAAGGGACCCCAAGTAACGGAAAGTCAGAGCCAGAGACGATGAGACCTGAACAATGAGAACGCCACAGTGCACAGGCAGGGAGACTAGCTGAGTTCCACAGGGAGGGTTTTCAAGTCTGCCACTCACTCTTCTCTCTCGCTTGAACACTTCTAGACCAAATATGATCCTCTCTCCTCAGTTTCTTACTGTTAGGCACACACTGACATTTACAACTCCTCTCCACCAAAGAGCACTCCTCCTCCAAATTGCAGTTCCAGGCCCATCTTCTCCAAGTTTACATGTTTAAATCTCTGGCTGGGCAGGATCATCACCAATCCATACCTGTACCTTCCATCTGCCCACTCTTTCTTCATCTCTCCAAGAGTATTACTATCCCCCAGTCTTTTCTTTGGGAGAAAATATAATAGATTTTGTAGCTTTTAAACTCTCCTTTAGTATACAATCAATGTCAGCTGTACTATATACCAAAAATACAATGCTTACAATAATAATACCATTTTATTAGAATATAATTTCCTAAGCACTTTGTTCTATGATATGTATTATACACACACCACCTTTGTTGAGCACCATATAACGTAAGTATTCAGTATTGTTATCTCCAGTTCACACATGAGGAAACTAAGGCTCAGAGAGATACATTTTCCCAGGTCTTATAGCTTGTCAAAGCTTGTGTGCTTAACACTACATGAAACTGGTGATTGCACCCTCAGAGCCATTTTTCAGAATTTTTAAAATTTCATTTTAAAATTCTATTTTTAGAATTTCATATTGTGGTTCCATTTTATCCCATTTTTAGAATCTCCTACTGCAGTTTCTATCAATATATATTAAATAGGAGGCAGCATTAATGCAAATTATAACTGACACCATGTAACATTTTAAGCATTATTGGTCACCCCAATTTTCTATTTGTTCTCTACCCTCTTTCATGTAGTTACCACTTGGTACCCACTTACTTGTAAGGCTGACCAAATCCCATAGATGGAAGGTAAAAAGAGCATCCTGCAGCTATCACTCTACATGGAGTTTCTTCTTATTTGGGCTCTGTCCTCCTGGCATTAGTAGCTGCTGTTTTCATTCTTTCGTTTCTTCTGGTGGTGATCCCAGTGGGTATTAATCTTTACAGAGAAATGACCAAACCAAAATTTACTCCAGGAATTTTCTAACAGAGTTAGTGAGAATGACTCTACTAGCATTTTTATCTTATACTTAGTATTTTAAAAATCATTGAACATACACTTCCTTACCATCATCCCAAATAAAATAATGTCTGCCACCCTATTGAAATGATGACTCATGTGGCCTGTCTCTGTACCACACTGAGTATAGCAAACACCACTCAATGTTCACGCTCTCTGTTTCACCCTGTACATAAAGCTCAGTTCTTCAGATCCTAAGAAACTTTAGGCTGGAAACATCCCTCTGATGCGAAATCCTGTTCAACTGTGAACTTTCTCTAACCATAATGTAAAGTGATTTTCTTCAGTCTCTGACACATTACTTTCCATTTCTGGAAAACAGCCTATAGGTGATTCTAAAATTCAGTCTATCTGGCCATCGCCATGTCCCCGTGGGACCCAGTTCCAGCATGAGGATTGGTCAGCCAAGCTCTGAGTTATCCAGATCTGGCTTTGGTTTCCTCTGAGGATTTGCAGAGGTCTAACCACTTGAGAAACTGGGGATCTATGCAACTGCAGTAAAACATAATTTTCATTGCACTGTGTCGTAAAGGATTCCTTTAGACTTTCTAAATTTAGTGAAGTTGCATAGCACTATGTAAGTTTAGTTCTGCAGCTGACACATCCACTCCCCATGAGACATCATTTACAACTCAGATTTCAGCACATCCACCAGGGCATGTCTGGTGTTATCCCAGCTGCTATTGGAGCTTCTCTCCTTGCCACTGTTATTGTGAAGTCTGGTAATAATGTGCTCTTGACTCCAGTGACAAAGCAATGGTTTTATTCTAAATATCAGCTGAAAGCTGTGCTTTCAGTCCACAATTTTAGACAAATCCTCCAGGTGTAACCCTAGTGAAGCTGTAATCTTTGTGATTCCTTCTCTGCACAGCATCATAAAGCAAAGTTCATCAGAATGTTAACTCTGCTTTAAGACTCAACAGAGTCTTAAGAAAGGAGTTGCATCTTCTACTTTCACATTTCAAAGGATGTAAAAAGGTTCTGATGCATAACCCCCATGAACACATCCCGAATCTCCCTTCCTCTCCTATTCAGTTCTCTCCCACAACCTCTTTTGCTTCTTATTCACCAAGTCAAACCCCAAAGGGGGAAAAAACTGTCAAATCGATCCACTCTATTCTGGGAAACTTCTGACTTTTCCTATCTCCCTCATTTCTCCCAATCTATAACCTCCTCCTTCAGCATCTCTGGACACATCCTTTTCTGTGCATCTTCCAATTATATGTCACCAAAATACAGGAACTAATTTGGCAGTAACATAAGGCAGGGGAAAGTCTGGCAAACAAGATAACATTTTCTCATGTGGGCTGGGGGAGAGGAAAGAGTCTATTAATACCACATTAATAATTTTATTCCATTATTTGTCTTTTTACTGGTGAAAGATCAAAAATTTAGCTGATTTATTTCCTCCCTTTTTCCATCCTCCCACTCCACATTTCACAATTTTTCTTTTAAATATCTCAGATATTAATCTATATTACTTTATATATTTTCTAGAGAATATTTAAGTCATAAAATTTCAAAGCCAAAACAGTTACCTAGACATAAACTTTTTATTTTTATTTATTTATTTATTTTTTGAGGTGGAGTCTTGCTCTACCACCCAGGCTGGAGTGCAATGGCCCAATCTCTGCTCACTACAACCTCTGCCTCCCGCATTCAAGCAATTCTCCTGCCTCAGCCTCCCAAGTAGCTGGGATTACATGTGCACACCACCACCCCGAGCTAATTTTTGTATTTTTAGCAGAGACGGGGTTTCACCATGTTGGCCAGGGTGGTCTGGAACTCCTGACCTCAGGTGATCCACCTTCTTCAGTCTCCCAAAGTCCTGGGATTACATGCATGAGCCACTGCACCCAGCCACTTCTTTTCTATTATATATTTCATTGTTTATTTTTGGTGCATTTTCTTTTTAACCTAAAAAATTTGGGGAGTAATTTTTCATAAAAGTACATACATGAAGTAGTTAAAAGCTGTGCATGTGTGAAAATTATTTGTGAAGTCTTCTTTGAGTTTAGAAATTATTAAATCAATATTTTTCCCTCAAAAATCTGCAGCTGTTGTTTCCATTTTCTAACTGTTAATATTGTGGAGAAATCTGATGCCTACATGATTTTTCTTCTTGTATTGATAACATAGTTTCCTCAGGATGGATGATATTAGACATTTTTTCTTCTTAAAATTTGAAATTCAACAGTATCAACGACGAGCTAATACTCATTAATTTTACCTCAAATGCGGTGAGCTCCTTTGATCTGATCATCTATCCTCAGTTCAGGGAGCCTGTGTCACTATTTAATTGATTGTCGCTTCTCCTCCATCTGCCTCAGTCTTTTCTTCTGGAATTTCTAAACTGTAATTCTATATTGATTTTCTTTTCACCATTCTTATCCATATTACTCTAAGTTGTGGGAGCATTTCTGGAGCTTGCCTGGATTTGCCGGGGTTTTGGTTTTCTGAAGTATCCAGAATGATGTTCACATCCAAATGCAGATGATGCACAACCCCTGTTCCAAACTCCTTCACACTCACCCAACTCCACCAGAGAGGCTTTCCCAACCTCCCTTACAGCTAGTGGTTGTGGCCTTGCGACACCATCCTGATAAGTAAGATGCAAACACACAGAGGTCTCAGTAGCGTAGGGGGTGGTTGTAGAACACTTGAACTTTCTTGACAAAAGCATATACGTGACTGACACCAACTCTTCCCACTTCTTCCTGCTTTTGATGAAGACCTGATGCCTGGAAAGGCAGAAAACATTTTGTGACCAAGATGGAAGGCTAAAAGAATTGCAGAGAGGCTGGCCTTACCATCATGCAGTCAGCGTACCAACACAAACAGTTGCCTATACGTCTTGCTATGTTAGATAATTAAAAATCTTTATTTCACTCTTAGATATCTTCTGCTTACAACTGAAAGCATTCTAATCATTTCAGCGTTTCTCTTGTAAGAAGAGAAAACATAATTCTATGTCTTATGAAATCTGATATGCTCTTCTCTTCCCTTTGAACCACTGGCTGTGGGGATGATGGGCTCACTGTCAGTAATAACACAGATTTCACTGGAACTTTCCACAGCAGGGTCATGCAGGACTTTGCTCCCACAAAGTCTCACCGGGTTATATCTCAGATTCTCATAGTTGATCCTGTCACCTCTACTACGCCAGCTCCTGGGTTCACATCCACTACCTATGAAGCCACAGAGGGTGTTTCACCATTGCTATGGTTTGGGGGCCTTCCATAAGAATACTGACATCCATTCCAAGAAAATTTCTTCTCATCTCCTAAATCTGCCAGCTCTGAAGGTGTCAGATTGTTCTTCACAGAAAAGGGAAAGATAACAGTAATAACTACAAGTTACTGAGCACTTACTATATTCTAGCTTTAATGATTTACAGGGTACCCTATTGTATCCCACATCAACCCTATTAATATATGTTACTTTTATTTTAAAAATAGGTTAAGTGACTTGTCCACAATCACAAAGCTAGTCATAAAATCTAAAATCAAATTTAAATTTGACTTCACCACTTCTAGCTTCTTCGCACCGCTGCACTGTTACCCAGGAATTTAAGGACAATGAAATGTTAAATTGGGAGTTTCCACTGAGGCTCCATCATAAAATAGATAAAACTCTAAAGTAAAGTACGAGTTGCATATTTTGAAAGGAAGTTAGACAACTCCAAGGACACATCAAAGACATAAAATAATCAAGGCAGTGGAAAGTCAGAGAGGATTTGTAAAAATATTTGTTTGGAGAAAGACACTGAGTGCTGTGAGAACCACCCATTCCCCAAAGGGAAAGGGCAAAAGCTCACCTCTACCTCTTTCACCTCTGGCCTGCAGAGAACTTCCAGTGGGACCAGCAGGGAACCTCCAGAGTACCATGAAAACAGTCACAGGATGATCCACTTTCCACATCTGCTGGACCCAGAGAGACTAAAGTCATCTGAAGACCTATTCAATGACACTCTTTCCCTTCTTTTCTGCGTTTCCACCCCAAGTTATAACTCCCTCTGGAGCAGTCAGAAATATGGGTAGCTAGTGGAAAGCGGGAGGGAAATGAAAAAGAAAAAAGTCAACCACACCCTCTTCCAGAGAGGGTAGGGGACCACCCACTGTAGGCTCTAACTGAAGAGTCGGAAGGGAACAGAATTATTGACCTCAGAATGAAGCATTTCCTAATATATTGGACTGAACATTTTATTAATCACTTACTGAATCAGGGCAACTTAGAGTTACCCACTATTAGGTAACAGTAATAGTAATCAGAAAAGTATAAGCTGCCACGTTTCATCCAGGGCATGGGAAAAGTTTTCCTCCATTGTATAATTTTAAGAAACCAATGTAGACAAAATAAATTGCATTCAGCTGTGTTGTCAGCATATCAGTAAACAACATATTGGTGTCTACATCCCCTTCTGAAACCCTAGGGAAAAAAAAAACCAGATTTGTTAGCTTTTACCCAGGACTTCATTCCTCCACTGAGTTTAAACAAAGTCTATGGGAACCAACACACCCTGTAGCCCTTTCTATACTTCATCTGTAACTCCTTCACCCCCTAATTATCCCTCAGTATATAGCCAAACCCTCAAAACCCTCAGGCAATTAATGCATACAGATTGATATTCCGTGGGCTCCTTACCCCTTCAGTAAACGTGCATGGTCATGTTGTAATCTCAGTGATGTCTCAGGGTAACACCCCTGCTACACTAGCAGTTAATCCAGTTGTTCACTACAGGGACAGTAACACCCTCTAGGGGAAACTCGGGAAATTTGTGGGGGCATTCTAATAGTGTAGTTGTGCCCCAGAATTAGCCTATCGAAGAATATAATCTTTTGTTCTCTTTTATGTTACAGTGAGGGCATTATATTGACTCTTTGAATTATATCTGCAAGCAGGTTATATTATCAATGGCTTTCATCCAGTTTAAAAATATGACATTTAAAAATGTCTCTTATCCAGGCACAGTGGCTCATGGCTGTGATCCTAGCACTTTGGGAGGCCAAGGCAGGAAGACTGCTTGAGCTCAAGTTCTAGGTCAGCCTGGGCAACATAGCAAGACCCCCATCTCTACCAAAAAAAAAAAAAAAAATGCTGGGAATGGTGGTGTGCACCTGTAGAACCAGCTACTTGGGAGGTTCAGCTGGGAGGATTGCTTGAGCCAAGAGATCAAGGCTGCAGTGAGCCGTGATCATGCCATTACACTCCACCCTGGATGCAGAGTGAAACTGTTTCAAATATATACATATATCTCTTACTAAAATGAGAATTAAGCACGATATGATTAATAACAAGCAAATTCACACAACTTTATGTTGTGTACTCAATCTAATTTTCTCTGGTTTGTATATACATTTTGCATATTTTTTATTTTGAAAAATTTTACACATTCAGAAGTGTCAGAAGAATAATACATTAAACTTCTGTTTGCTGTTCCCCTAGATTTGCCAGTTTTAGCATATTTCCTCTCATTTGTTTTATCTTTATATATATATATATATATATATATTTTCTCTCTCTCTCAATCATTTGAGAGTTACTTGCAGACTTTGACACTTCATCCCTAAATACTTCAGCATGTGTCTCCAAAGGAAAGAAGTATTCTCTTACATACCTACCTACTACCATGCAATGATCACACTCAAGAAATTTAACACTGATTTTTTCTTAAAAACTTAGTATCTAAGATAAAGCCCATGTTCAAATTTTCCCAATTGTTTCAATAATGTACTTTTCATAGCTTTTTTGTTTTCTTTTTCTTATCCAAGAATTAATCCAAAGTCACTCATTGAATTGAGCTGTCATATTTCTTTAGTTTTCCCTAATCTAATCAGTTCACCAGCCCCTTGTGTCTTTTATGTCAATGACATTTTTGATGAGTAAAGGCTACTTGTTTTACAGTATGTTTTACAATTTGGATTGTTTTCTGATGAATAGATTCCGTTTTTTTTTAATTCCAGAATATTATACAGGTGATGTTGTGAGCTTCTCATGTATCACATTCAAAGGTAAAAAAGGGTATTTTATCTCATCCTGTTGGAAATGCTAAGTTTGATCGTTTTGTTAAGGAAATACCTATCAGATATTTCCCTTGATGAGTTACTGGTTTGTGTAGAAATACACTGGTTTTGTTTTACAAAAATTGTAAATCCTAGTGATACTCTTCTAGAGAGGGGAACTAAATGCTCAGCACAAAAAGTGCAGGTAATCCCACTCTTATCTGCTTTTTACCTGATGTTATAAAGATTTCAGAAGATCAACCCTTAATATGTTGCTAGGGACAGGTGCAGTGGCTCATGCCTGTAATCCCAGCACCTTGAGAGGCCCAGGCAGGGGCATCGCTTGAGCCCAGGCGTTTGAGACCAGCCTGGGCAACACAGCAAGACCTCATATCTAAAAAAAAATTTTTTTTAAATATTAGCCGGGCATGATTGGCCTGTGCCTGTAGTCCCAGCTACTCAGGAGACAGAGGTGGGAGGATTGCATGACTGTGTTCAATTATCATAATTTAAAAGGCAGAATATTGGTTCTAAAAGGGGAGATGCATAAGTAAATATGGTAGATAAAACTTACATATGCACAAATATATATTCCATGCTTTTCTTTCACTGAGTAAATACACTTGATTCTCCATCATAAATTGCATTTTTAAATATAGCATGTTTATATGAATAAATATGAATGTTTATTAATATAATCATGGTTATATTTTGTATTAATATATGTCTAGTTCCTTTGGGACCCAGGCGCATTTTGAGTTCAAGTGCCAGATAAATAAACAGTGAGGTTTGCTATTCATATCTTATGTCTTACTGGGGGCAGGTCTTTGAAGTCAAAGAATACCTCAATACTAAATTATAGTAAACCCCTTGAGAGAAAATAGTCTTCATCTCCTAATAGAATACCATAAGATATCATGGGCATTCAATTTCCTTCATCTTGATTTGCCAGTGGTCAATTTGGTTTTCATTTAGAGTATTTGAGATGAAATTTAGACCATAAAGAGTTTAAAATATTAAGGACTAAAAACATGAGCAGTTTATTTCCTACTTACAAGAAAATTAAGATCCTTTGAGTATTATGAACACCTTGTATAGTTATACAGGCATTCTCAAAAATTAAGCCAGCTAATAATTTAATACATCTCAAGGATGCCTGTTCCACATTCCCTTGAGTTACATTCAAAAGAAAAGCAGATGATTAATTTGTTAAATTCAAATAAGCAGGAAATTCTATTAGATATTTGAAAAATTGCTTCTCTTCAGTGAAACTCAAACTGCATATTAAGGAGAATGCATAGATAGAATAGCTCAGACTCAAACCGTCATGACCTAAATAAGATTTTGTGTCCAGCAAAACTCCACTTACCAACGCAATTTAGAATTCTACCAAATTATCACTATATAAAATCGGGTCTGCTATAAAGAAGCCAAATAAGTAACATTTGTAAAGACAGAACATTGTAAATAATTCTACCAAATTATCACTATATAAAATCGGGTTTGCTATAAAGACGCCAAATAGGTAACATTTGTAAAGAGAGAACCAATAGTTACAATCTTGTCTTTGTTGGTCTGTGCACTGGATACATGTTATCTAATTTAATTTCAATAGCTTTCTAAGATCTTACTTGCTATACCTCCACTCTCCACTATCATTAAACTGCGCATCTTCAAGCAAAGTTCTCTCTTCTTTATGTACCATTCCCAGAGTCTTGCACTGTGCCTGCTTCATAATATGTACACCAGGGCATTTAAATAATGTACATAAAGCCACATAATTATGAATATATTACTATACCACTCCATACTCAATGCTTTTTACGTTATACCATGATGTTTCCAAACAGGACTTCATAGATTAGTGGAAAAATCTAAATAAATTGAAGTGGGTTGCCACAAAGCTTTCATTTAAAAGCCTAAAATACATCCAACTCTATTCAGTGGTTGATTTGTATATGGCATCCAGAGGGCAGTCTGACATCGAGTTGAACTAAATGATAGTAATTATAATGAAATATGATCATTGTGTAAATGAACAACACCTCAATATTCAGTACATATAAAATAACTGATAGAAAGGTTGGCATGTCTTACTGTTTATCATTAAAATATGTCTTAATGGAGACTTCCAATTTGAAAGGCAAGATTGATGGAAAACATTAACTATGCAATAAATTCTGTTACTGCATATTTCATAGAGATAAATCCTAGATGATGATTCTGGAGTTGAGAGATACCAATAAATCATGGAAAAAACATCCTTTTTACTAGCAGAGATTATATTTGAAAGTTACTGCTGAAAGATTCCTGTTTTATCAATTTTTATAAAGATATTTAAAAGACCAAGAACTTCTAAGAATGTTTAACTCAGGGAAGAGATCAACCTTTTCTGTCCAAAAGCTGAGTCTACAGTTTAGTTTAGGTCAATAGTTCATGGATTCTTTCTCAAGCATTATAAACTGGCCCATTTTAATAATACAAAATACAAATGATAAAAGACAGTAGTGTAAGAGATTTCATTTCATTTAACTGCTGCTCTTTAAGAAAACCATATGGGCCAGGCGCAGTGGCTCATGCCTGTAATCCCAGCACTTTGGGAGGCCAAGGCGGGCAGATCACAAGGTCAGGAGATTGAGACCAACCTGACTAACATGGTGAAACCCATCTCCACTAAAAATACAAAAAATTAGCGAAGCGTAGTGGCCGGCGCCTGTAGTCCCAGCTACTCGGGAGGCTGAGGCAGGAGAATGGCTTGAACCCGGGAGGCGTAGATTATTGCAGTGAGTGGAGATCCAGCCACTGCACTGCAGCCTGGAGACAGAGTCTCCGTCTCAAAAAAAAAAGAAAAAAGAAAAGAAAAAGAAAAGAAAACCATACGAAAAAGCCTGCTCTAATTTCTCCCTACCTGGAGAGAG